ATACGAACTATTGATATATAAATTATATAAATATAAAATATAAAAAATAAATCTCCCACTGTCTTCGACATTTCAAAGTGTAGACTGTGTCTAGTGATGAGAATCAAGGAATTTATTTTATGTGTTAATATAAACCGTTTAGCTGCCTTAAAACGTTGGTTTAATAAGCTGAAAATACAAAGCATGCAAGTCTATACTATAGATTCATCATCAGTCAACAACCAAAGTTTGGTCTGAAAGTATTGAACCTTATAGAACGATAGTTTTTATTTGTTTACAACTATACATATTCAACGGGTATATAAGAGTTTAGCTTTTATTTGATAATTACTGCATCAACCGGCCCCTTGTTTATACTTTGGAGGTTCGTATATAATATCTATCAAGTATCTTTGGTTCAGAACATGACTGATAGGCCTATATGGAAATCCCACTGTTCGATGCAGTGAAGAAATATCTCCTAATTTCTATCGATAGTTTTAGTAAAATGTCAACATTATTGCGATTTATGGCCTTTGAAAGTCAAGCGAGATAGTATATTATCAAATTAATACGAATGTAATTGTCTGAACGAAAATATAGACTAGCCCATACCTTTCGCCGATCATAACTTCGGCCCCTTCGGACATATCTTCTTTGTTAAATATTCTTGTTCGGATCTCTATCAATAACACTATTTAGAGTATTATTTTCCAGCTTGTATCTTTTAATTTGCTTCTTTTATTATGTTATTCCATTTCTGGTCTGACTTGACGTGAACTAATTTCAAAACGCAGAGTTTCAAAACGTCAAAACATTTGGTTAATGATTAACATTTAACCGAATTTAGCCGTTGATTGACAACCACATAAAAATACTAACCAATCCGTTTTTCCCGTTCACCAGCGGACGGGTAATTCAAAAACCCCTAGTTTTGCGGCAGACGGTATTTCCTTTGCTTCCCTAATTTTCGCTGCCCGTAGAAATACCGCCTGCCATGCAGGCTAACATACTTATTGCTACATTCCATGTTCTAAATATGGAATACACTCCAGGTGTTTCGAGTGTTTATGCATTTCTAGAATTTAGAAGCTGTCACCTTAAACCGCCCTGCTGATGCCGAGAACAAAATTTCTGTACAACAACTTTTAAGTGAGCTTGGACTCCGAAATTAATCGTGATAAATACTTAGTTCATATAAATTCATGCATGTTAAAGGTATTTCTTGTCAGCGAGTAATTTATAATAATAACCAATTTTGAACCTACATTTCTCTTTTGTGTGTGTCTTAATGTGCCTGGTTGAAAGTGTTAAATCAACACCTTAAATCTGGTGTTATTTTAGCACCAGATAGGAAGAGGTGTTGCTTTGGCACTGCCAAATCAGGTGTTATTTTAACGCCACACTATAGGTGTTAATTCAACTCTTAAAACTGGTGTCACTTTAGCACTTAAAAGTGGTGTTAGTTTAACACTATAAACAGGTGTTAAATTAACCCCAAAAACTAGTGCTAATTTAACACTAAAAATGGGTGTTGTTTTAGCACCATATCTAGTGTTATTTTAACACTTTTTTAGTGGTGTTATTTTAACACCCTAAAATTAACAGTGTAGGGCATGCTGTCACAATAGAATTGTGAAGCTCTTCTAACTTCTTCAAAGTTCTGAAATCTTGTTAAGAAAACACAAACTCTTTTGCCTTTTCTTAATCTTGTTTATCTTGTTAAGTTCAGAATAAACTGAGAATGAAACACAATCAAACCATACAACTCCATAAGTCATAACAAGCAACTCCCCAGAGACATCCAACATTTTTGGAACAAAACGTAACAAAATAGTAGCGTCTATACTGTGATGTGTATTTGCAAAAAGCAATATTATTTCCTTCATTAAAGAATAATATTCATCCTGCTCTAACCGAGAAATAATCAACTCTGTTTTTAACCCATGAAAAACAAAGAAAAATTAGGCTATTTAAGAAATATTTAAGCCTGCCTTAGTGGTCTTTCATGTACCTTTAAGTTTGTAAAGACCTATTAAATACTTGCATAATTTCGAACATTCATATTTCAGGAAACATGAGCTAAGACTTACATGCATATATGTTAAAATGTCTAAATCTACGCCATATCCCTAATACAAACCCTAACGACAATTCGTTGAAATACAAGTTAGCCTGATATGTCATTAAACAAAGAAACGCTGGAGTTATATTTGATATGCCGATTTTCGCTAATTTTAGACGCATCCGAAAATATGCTCCAGATTTTGAACATTAATATCTCGGTGAATTTTTAAGTAAAATACAACTGTAACATATCAAAATCTAAGTTAGCCCTTCCTATATGTAATGCAAGTTATTTCTGTTTGATAGCTTTACTTGTTTAGAAGTTATTATAAATCAAACAGGAGTACTTTTTTTTGGGACACCCGGTATATATATATATATATATATATATATATATATATATATATATATATATATATATATATATATATATATATATATATATATATATATATATATAACGCTGTATAGTGTCGTACTGTATAGCCTTATAGGCATATTGTGTTGTATACATATAGTATGTACTGTTTAATAAACGAGCAGGAGTGTTTTATTAGGTTTAAAGACACGAGCGCGCAGCGCGAGTGGCTTTAGACCTAATAAAACACGACCTGCGAGTTTATTAAACGGCTTCAAACACGACTATACAAATTCACACATTGACTTGACTTTATTGACTTGACTTTATTAAAAACGGTACTATTTCACCAAGATATTTACAAAAATTAAGACGGGTGATCTTCCAATAGGCCGTATATAGCTATACTAATTACACATATACTACAGTATCTAATAATAATAACTAAATTACACACAAATTACACACTTACAGTTAGACTATTTTTAAATGTAGAGATACTTGTTTTAGCTTTTATGTCAGCAGACAGATTATTCCAAGTCTCAGCTTCTCGATAGGCGAAAGACTTTTTCATAAAATTAGTTTTAGGTTTAGGTAATGCAAAATTGAATTCGCTCTGTCTTGTATTGTAATTATGTATTTCATTTGAGGTGATGAAAAGTTCCGTTAAGCAATTTGGTAACATGTTATGTTTGGCTTTGAACATTAGGACGGCTAAATGATGTTTTCTTCTAGTCACGAGATTTGGAAACCCGACCTTGTTCAAAACATCGATTGTACGTGTATCATAGTTTTCACGAGTTATTATTCGAAATGCTCTATTTTGAAGCTTCTGGAGTTTATCAGATAGTACTTTACCCAGACAACTCCAAATCTGTGAGCAATAGTCGAAATGTGGTTGAATTATTGATAAATAAATTTTGATCAGTGTTTGGTAATCTAGAATGTCTCTCAATCTTTTAAGGATACTGAGACCTGAATTAACCTTTTTTGTAATTTGATCAACTTGAGCATTCCATAAGAGTGTTTCGTCAATCATTAAGCCGAGTGATTTGGTCGTTTTGACTCTATTAATTTCTCTGTCTTTTATGAATATATTAGGCGTTATGTTAATATGATTGACTCTTCTATTACTACCTATTATCATGTATTCTGTCTTCGTTTTGTTTAAAGTTGGTTTATTTGCCGACAACCAAACTGAAACGTTTTCTAGATCTTGATTAAGTTCCTCAGCAACTGTATTAACATCATAACCTGCCGTTTCAATTTGGGTATCGTCGGCAAACATATTGACTTTAGTGTGTTCCAGACAATTAGGTAGGTCATTTATGTAAATTAGGAACAAGAGTGGACCAAGAGCCGAACCTTGTGGTATACCCGTTGTCACACATAGAGGATCAGATAAATGGGCATTCACTTGGCAATATTGTATTCGACCTGTTAAATAGGAGTTGAGCCAGCGTAATGCCGACCCCCTTATGCCATAAATTGCCAACTTACTAAGAAGGATGTCGTGATTAACAGTATCGAATGCTTTTTTTAAATCAAGAAATATCACACCATTAAGTTGGCCAATGTCCATATTCTGATACCATCTATTTGTGATATCGAGCAACGCAGTTAGAGTTGAATGGTTCGGCCTAAAGCCGTGTTGGGAATTTGCTAGTAGATTTTCCTTAATCAAATATTCATAGATCTGGTTGTGTATTAGCTTTTCCATGATTCTTGCAACAATTGAAATAACGGATATAGGTCTATAATTGGACAATACATGCAGAATTTTTCCCCAGATTTATAAATTGGTGTAACCCTCGCAACTTTCCAGTCAGATGGAAATATGCCAGTGCGGATTGATTGACTAAAAATTAAAGTAAGTGATGGAGCAATAGATGGTGCTGCAATTTTTAAAACTTTAGCCGAAATTTGATCCAGACCGGATGCCTTGGATATAGTTAAGTTAGAAAGCAATCTCAATATTACAGTCTCTGATACCTCTTTAAAGTGCGATAAAGTGTCAGTTGGACATTGAAAATTGGTAAAATATCTGTCGGGAGTTGACGTTGATAAGGGTATATCATTAGATAAATTATCCCCTAATTCAATGAAATATTTGTTAAACTGATTTGGGATATCCGCTTGATCAATAATTTCGTTATTTTCATTTTTAAGCTGTAAACACGTTCCAGAGCTAAGTGCGATATTCTATTTAGCAATTTTGTGGAGAAAATCGTTTTATTACGAGATTTTAGCCACAAATTTAGATTTCGTTTGGACATTTGTGACCAATTAATCCCACTTTTTCCAAAGAAGATTCTTTCTCGGGAGAATTACGTTAATTCGTGCATAATTTTGCGTTGTTCCACTTAATTTACGTTTGTCAAAACTCTTTGTTATTGCCAAAAACTGACAAACAATTATTTCTATAAAAACTGTTCGGACGTATTTGTTATAATATTTAAAATTGGCATAATTTTGAAAAATAACACTTGCTAAATTGTACAGAAATCAAGTAAACTTTATTCATACAACAAAATGTTGCTTAATTTATTAATATAACAAGTATTTTCCATACAGTAAAATACATGTATATTATTTACACTATTATACAAGAATTAGCAACAAAATGTCCTTAATTTCAAAACAAGTCCATGTAACCATTCCAAAAGCAACAATATTGACAAGTTAAAAAGTCATTGGAACACAAATATGTAAAACACATAACAAACGACAAGGCGCATCCATATGAAGTTAAAAAGTCATTGGAAAACTGCAAATATACATGCCTGGCATGGACGCGTCCATGCCAAGTTAAAAAAGTCATTCGAACACAAAGATACAATGGCATGGACGTGTCCATGCCAAATTAAAAAAGTAATTGGAACTAAATATAGAATGGCATGGATCGGTCCATGCCATTGGAAACTTATGTTCCAATTACTTTTTTAACTTGGCGTGGACTCGTCCATGCCATTGATGGCAAGGACGCGTCCACGCCAAAATAAAAAAATAATTGGAACATATATTTCCAAAGGCATGCATTGGACGGATCCATGCCATTGTATATTTATGTTCCAATTACTTTTTTAATTAATTAACTTGTCCATGCCATTGATGGCATGGACGCGTCCACGCCAAGTTAAAAAAGTAATTTGAACACAAATATACAATGGCATGGACACGTCCACGCCAAGTGAAAAAAGTAATTGGAACATAAATCTCCAATGGCATGGCGAATCCATGCCATTGTATATTTATGTATGGCATGGACGCGCCCACACCACTTAAGTTAAAAAAGTAATTTGAACACAAATATACAATGGCATGGACACGTCCACGCCAAGTTAAAAAAGTCATTCGAGCACAAATATACAATGGCATGGACACGTCCACGCCAAGTTAAAAAAGTAATTGGAACATAAATTTCCAAATGGCATGGACAATTCTTGCCATTGTATATTGATGTTCCGATTACTTTTTTAATTAATTAATTAATTAACTTGGCGTGGACTCGTCCATGCCATTGATGGCATGGACGGTTCCACGCCAAGTTAAAAAAGTCATTCGAGCACAAAAATACAATGGCATGGACACGTCCACGCCAAGCTAAAAAAGTATTGGAACATAAATTTCCAATGGCATGACGAATCCATGCCATTGTATATTTATGTATGGCATGGACGCGTCCACGCCAAGTTAAAAAAGTCATTCAAACACAAATATACAATGGCATGGACACGTCCACGCCAAGTTAAAAAAGTAATTGGAACATAAATTTCCAAATGGCATGGACAAATCCATGCCATTGTATATTGATGTTCCGATTACTTTTTTAATTAATTAATTAACTTGGCGTCGACTCGTCCATGCCATCAATGGCATGGACGGTTCCACGCCAAGTTAAAAAAGTCATTCGAGCACAAAAATACAATGGCATGGACATGTCCACGCCAAGCTAAAAAAGTAATTGGAACATAAATTTCCAATGGCATGACGAATCCATGCCATTGTGTATTTATGTATGGCATGGACGCGTCCACGCCAAGTTAAAAAAGTCATTCGAACACAAATATACAATGGCATGGACACGTCCACGCCAAGTTAAAAAAGTAATTGGAACATAAATTTCCAATGGCATGGACAAATCCATGCCATTGAATATTGATGTTCCGATTACTTTTTTAATTAATTAATTAATTAATTAACTTGGCGTGGACTCGTCCATGCCATTGATGGCATGGACGGTTCCACACCAATTTTAAAAGTTCATTGGATGGCATGGACACGTCCACGCCAATTTTAAAAGTTCATTGGAACATAAATATACAATGGCATTGTTGGCATGGCACGTCCAGGCCAAGTTAAAAAAGTCATTCGAACACAAATATGGACCGTGCATGCAAAACTTTAAGCCGGGTTTAGACCGTAGCATAGTGATTTGTTGCTTCATCAACATTCTTTCTTGCATTCATTCCTCTCACCATTCTAACAAAATGGGAAAGGTTTTCTGATCACCAGGTCTAAAAATAAGATAAATTAATTTTAGTTTGTCTCTTGATACAGTATTTATTTTTAATATTGTAAAGTCAGTGATAATAATGCTCTCTCGAGAAAATATGACCAATGATAGACCCAGAATAAAATAAACACCACCATCAGATAGATCTGATGGTGGTGTTGTTCTTTAATGGCAAGTGTTTGTCGACAAGCACTCTAAGGGTGTCAATTGGAATACCTTTTGGAATACTAGCCAATGGATGCTCTGCCAACTGAGGGGCTAATTACATGGGCTGAGTTTTCCCGCTTTGCCAAGTTGTCCTGGCTAAGCCAGTTGACTTTTGAATTGCGATTACATGCCCCACGCTAACCCGGCTAGCCGGCTGAAGTAGCTCATTAAGATTTGTAATGCTTAACAATTTATCACTCGGTGTTAGAAATCTTTAAAAAATGGTGTATTTGTTGTATTTGAGGACTACTTTACCCACTGAATGTTGTTGGTTGAGGTATTTATACTGAGCGCTAATCACAACAGGCTCATACTGTTTGTATTCTAACATTGTATACAGGCTTATACTATTTGTATCCTATCTAAACCTTGAAAACGTTCAATAATATCATTTTGATGTTATTTGAAGTTTTTTTAAACTTATATTTGTACATATAATCGAAATTAAAACATGCATAAGCGTGGTTTTCAGCCCGCTTTGCCAAGCCAACTCAGCAAAAAGCGATTACATGGGATGTGAGGGCAATTTCTGTCCCGGCTAAACGAGTTGACTCGGCAAGCTACAGCTACAGTCAACATAATAGACAATACTTATAGGAAGTGGGTCAACTAGGCAAAGCGAGTCAACTCACTTAGCCGGGACAACTCACCCATCTAATCGGCCTCCAAGCTACATGGTCAAGTCAGTTCGAGTATGTGATATTTCGGAACTGAGTCTAGTCCCTTGGATATCAATGTAATCTAACTTATGATAATGATATTTGATGTGTTGGTGTAATGTACTCTGATGAATACGATGCTTGTGATGTTACTCTGAGTGTATATCCACACCTGGCAGGCTTGAAAAATATGCCTGGCTACAGTGGGAATCGAACCAATGACATTTGGAATACTAACCCAATGCTCTGCCAACTGATCTACGCGGTCAGGTTGGTTAGAGTTATAGAGTATGTGATATTTCGGAACTGAGTCTACTTCCTTCGATATCAATGTAATGTAATAATCATGATATTTGCTGTGTTGGCATAATGTACTGAGGTGAATAAGATGCTTGTGATGCTACTCTGAGTGTATAATTAATTAATTATCCGCACTGGGCAGGCTTGAAAAAAATGTCATAGTCGAACCGACCTGACCATGTAGCTCAGGGCCTGTTTACACGATCCCGGCCAGGCGGGACGGGATGCTTACCGAGATCCCGCTCGTGATACAAATTTTAAAGAGTGTTTATATGATCCCGCAACTTATCCCGCCTAGATGGGATCTCGGCAACAGATACCGGGATCCTGTGTGAGCGAGATAAAAAATTCCCATATAAACACTTCATCCCGCCTAGCCGGGACGAGAAATTCCCATATAAACACTTCATCCCGGCTAGGCGGGATGAACTTTTCCACTTTGAGCATGCTTAGCAAAGATATGACATCAAGCACTTAAATGGCTTCATCCCGGCAATGTATTTTGCCCATATAAACACTAGGCGAGTATCCTGTCTAGGTGGGATGAAAACGTCCCGTCTAGGCGGGATAATATAAACAGGCCCTCAGTTGGCAGAGCAATTTGGGCTAGTATTCCAAAGGTTGTATGTTCGATTCCCACCCTGGCCAGGTGTATTTCTCAAGCCTGGCCAGGTGTATTTTTCAAGCCTGTCTGGTGTGGATACACACTCAGAGTAACATTACAAGCATCTTATTCACCTGAGCACATTACACCAAAACAGCAAATATCATGGTTTAATTAAGTGGTTTTAGACTTGTAACTGGTATAAGTTACAGCAATCCTTGCAATTTCCTTTAATTAA